CGTGGAACAGAGTGATATGCATTCTTTATTGTGGTGTAACAGTGATCCAATATATTACTGTCTCTGGTGGGACATGTGATGTGCTGTCTGTATTTTGGCAGTTCACGGGAGAGATTTGCTTTATTAAAGTCCCCGAGAATGATTAAAACAGAGTCTGGGTGGTGTTCTGTGTCTGTGATCAGATCAGCGATTTTCTGTAAAGCGGTGCTCACGTGTGCTTGCGGAGGAATGTGGACACTGACAAGAATGAACGAGCAAAACTCCCGCGGCGAATAGAACGGCTTGCAGTTAATGAAGAGCACTTCTAGATCTGAACAGCACATCTTCTTTAACACAGTTACATCTGTACACCACCTCTCATTGATGTAAAAGCATGTCCTGCCGGCGCATGGTTTCCCCATTGATTCTGCGTCGCAATCTGCTCTGAACATCTGAAAGCCCGGGAGACTCAACGCGCTGTCCGGTATGGCGTCTTTCAGCCAGGTTTCCGTGAAACACAGAGCAGCAGAGTTTGAAAAATCCTTATTTGTCCGGGAGAGCAGAAGGAGTTCGTCCGTTTTGCTGGGTAGAGAGCAGAGGTTCGCCAGATGGATGCTAGGCAACGGCGTTCTGAATCCGCGCTGTCTGAGCTTCACAAATGCGCCGGCTCTCTTCCCCCGTCTGCGCGTCCTGAAGCGAGTGATCAGCACCGCAGCTCCCCCGACAACAATGTCCAGCAAAACATCCGAATAGTCGAAAACCGGTGAAATATCGGGTGGTGTGTACTTCCGAATGTCCAGCTATTCGTCTCTGGTGAAACTGATTGCAGGGATATAACTAAAGACAGGACAAACTAACAAAAACATCAAAACAACTGCGGTGCACGCCACGGAGGCAGCCATCAGCGTCGGCGCCAGTTCATGCCCCTTTAAAAACTGGGTTTTAAATTGCTTATATTTATATTGTACTAAAGCCAAAAAAGATGTAAACTGTAGAGTATGACAGCATTTTAATGCCATGTAAAAAAAAAACTATTAAGTCAAAACTATTTTCACTTTATTCTCATAATTTTGACTTTATTTTCAAAATATTATGACTTTAATCTTGTATTGCTACTTCTATAACTTTATTCTTGTAATCTTTTATTTATTTATTCATTCATATATTTATTCATGTGGCACCAAAACACCATTGTAGAAGAAAAACAACTAAAATTCTATTTTTTTTTCCTCCCACACCTTGCGGCCCCCTGGGGATTCCAGATGCCCCAGGAGTCATAAAAGCAGTTATATTCAAGTTGCAAAATAAAGGTGTGCTAGAAAGATAGTGTCTGTAGTGAACACACTGATGGCAATGACTTTCAATATAACAAGCAATATATCAAATTTAGTCCTCCATTTCCCTAGAGCACCTTGTGCTATGAATACTTAAAAAGGGCCCAAGCAAATGCACAGAAGTCAGGGTGGTTGTAATGTTCTGTCTAGAACCTTCTGATCAATTCAACTATTTGCACCTTGTCCAAGTTGACCTCCAGAAAGAGCCTCTTTGGCACTTCCAAATCCAAGCTCACGACACACCACAGTAGCTGCTACGGGATTCCAGTTGTCATCACAGATCGTGCCCCATTCTCCATTTTTCAACACCTCCACACGCCCCTCTCCAACTACAGCGCCACCTCTGAGACGCACCAGGGGTTGCTGTGAAGGAAGAGGAAGAGAATGACTCCTCTTAGCAGAAGAGATGAAACTCTTTGGTTATAAGCTAGTTGAAGGAAATTCATATTTGTGACCTTGGACAACAAACCCAGTCATAAGGGTAAATTTTTCGAAATTGAGATATATACATCATATGAAAGCTGAATAAATAAGCTTTCCTTTGATGTTAGGATAGGTACAACTATTTGAAAATCTGGAATCTGAGGGTGCAAAAAAATCTAAATACTGAGAAAATCGCCTTTAAAGTTGTCCAAATGAAGTTCTTAGCAATGCATATTACTATACTATTATTTACAGTAGAAAATGTACAAAATATCTTCATGGAACATGATCTTTAATTAATGTCCTAATGATTTTTGGCATAAAAGAAAAATCAGTAATTTTGACCCACACCCATTTGAGAAGTTTTCCAATAATTCAGGCAACTCTAATGGCAGATGTGCATGACAAACCTCAAGACATCATAAGCCTAACATCATTATAAAAGATTATAAAAGTTAATAAATCCATTTCTCTCCCGCAAAACAGTTGTGCTTGCTAATTTGTTTTTGGCAACCACAGTACATTGCTCAAAAGAAATGGAAAGAAATTATTTGAAATAGATTTTTTTTTGTAGCATCATAAATTCATACTGTCACTTTATCAATTTAATATATCATTGCTGGATAATAGTATTAATTTCATGTAATGCTTCATCTTTGACCATAAAATCAATCTATATATTCTATAGGAATTATTTCAGGAATACATTTAAATGGTGCAGATCTGTATCATGCTAATGAACTCACTGACCTCGCTGAATGGTATGTAACAGACAAGCTTTCACATGGACCACTTAAATATGTAATTTGGAAAGAGTGATGCCATTTTTGGCTAAAATGTCTGTCATCACAGTGCTTTAGAGATTCAAAAATATCCTCTTCTTCACTCTCTAACATTAGTATTCATATAATCACAGTTTATGGCAACTTAAAATATTGGACTCGAAAACTTTTGCCACATAAACTTCTTTAAATAAGAGGCGATTCACTTTAAAGTAACCGCTTAGTCTAGATCAAGATTCACTATCATCATGGAGATAAATTGTGCTGAGCTCTGTTCCATACTTAATAGTTTTCATAAAGGTGAGAGTCAGAAGTTCAGCACAAAGCAATACCTCATGTGGACGTGTGGCTTCTTGCATTTTTTGGAAGGAATACATCATCTGGCCTCACCTCCTGTCTGAAGGCCTTCTTGTATCCTGCCATGGGAGTCTGGGCGAAAGCTCTGCCAGGGACGCAGCTGACTACCACAGGACTGCCCTGCTCACATGTGCTATTGGCTTTAATGGAGAGCATGTGGCCCAGCTTACAGCTAGACAAATGAGCTTCATTTCCGGTGCAATTTATGGAGTAATCCCAGTATGTTGGCTTTCTTCGGCGGGCAAACATCCTGAGAAATAAAGCACATGGGATTTATTTAAGAATTAAACAGAATAAACATTACTAAAACAAAACTCATGTATAGGCCCAAGTGGAAGATCCTAGTCATAATATGGCTAGTAAATGATTCATGAATGCATTTAAGATGTGATACACACTGAACTGTAAAAAGATGAAACGTTGATGAAGTGACGTCATACATTCTTGCAGGAAAAATGGTGCTCATCCTACAAACAGAATATTTAACAAGCTTCATGTGAAATGCCATAATGATTACAGTTCCCTGTCAGAAGTATACTGGCTGTCATTCACAAAAAAATACACAATCCACATTTGTTTTTTTATTTAGACTCGGGGGGGGAGAGAGAACGTCTCACATTGGAATTGCTCCAAAGTCTGTTTCAGGACTCTACTACAACCACTATTGGGAAAACAAATGTGTACACAAACACACACACACACACACACACACACACAGGCTTTGGTAGATACAAAAGAAATGCCAGACAAAGCATTTAACTCACAGATTTGATCTAACGTTTTGTTACAAAAGTTTGAACATATAACCAGGCAGTTAATTTATATTGTTTGCGGGAACAGCTGTAGGGAAAGCAGTTATACTTCCACACCGGTGCTTTATCGTCTGAGAACATCGTCTGCTTGTTCCAGCCAGGGAAAGAGCCATATTATTTACAGGAGCCATTCATGCGCGGTCCTCTGAAAGGATAGTCCAAGCTTTCTAATGAAAGCACGGTTTAAAGCCACAGGGCAGACAGAGGTAGTTGAAAAGAAGCCCATTTTGGCTCCATGCTGAAAAAACTTCAGCCTTTGGCTATGTGTCCCCCCTCCCCCCAACATCAAGCACCGATTAAAAAAAAACAGACAGCGCCTGCACATTTCATAAGGCACACCATGTGAGGGGAAGCACGTAGCTTAGCTGAAGCGTCTGAGAATACAACCAAATATTAAGCTTTAATTTCCATTGTCCCTATGTGTTTTCTCATATAGCAGATTAATTATTATCTAGCCTAACTAGTCTTTAGTGCTGATTTCCACATAGTTATGAAAGTGCTCATGAAGATTTACTCGAGTCATACACTACGAATACAGTATGGAATGTAATAGCTTAGCAGAAAGTATAAGTTTGAGTTGCCCTCAGCAGATTTTCCTATTTATTTTCCTATTTTCTAGTAGGAGTAATGCAGAAATTTATCTGTAAGGACATTCAAGGACTCGCTAGAAACATCCTTCATGATGTGATTCAAATAAGGTTCACTTGCCTAGACGTGCTTGAGAGGTAACCAGTGGTTTCTCTGACCAGTGCTGATGGAAGAGCAGCATGTCTATTTTTGTTATTTCCAATGTTGGGTATTTTCTTTCAGGCTTCATACCAACAGCTAACATGGTATGAAAGTGTCAGGCTGCTTACACTAAGATATTTAACATATTATATGGCTTGGATTTAAGCAAGATAGCAAATTAGATAAAGAAAGTTTTACTTCAATTTTTTATAAATGAAAATGTAAGCATAAATTGGAAATTCTAAACAAATATTTCCTCTACTGTATTATCCAGTACGTTTAGAAATACACTACTAAAAGCAGAGTAAAAACGCACACTTGGAAATTCTCTCTACCAACATCATAAGATATATCCTGCTTTTTAATCCATAGTTTAGGATGATTTTCCCTGAACATTCAGTCCATCCTCAAAAAAATTAAATCAAATAAAATCGTTTTGTGATGAAACTCTTATATTGGATAACTTAGTTCACTTGTCTACAAAACTAAAACCTCTATATATTTTACGAAATTTGTAAATGTTTTGTATGTCAGCTAACACAGACCCTACAGTACCTTTAAGGACCCTAGGGGTCCCTGGACAACAAAAGATGCATCAAAGCTGTTAAGAATTCATACACTATGATTGAAACATTTGCTTTGTTCCATAGATTGAATCATGGGATGGAATTCAACCGAAAACATGACCATATTTTTATGTGAAACATATTTGTCAGTGTACATTCCAAATAAAACTACAATCAAACTATTAAACTCCATGTGCACTGTATTTCCATTTTGCTGTAGTGAGAGTTGAATGGAGTATGATTTTTATTATCTCAAGAGGAGTACCTCCATGTAAAATATTACAATTCTACGTTTCTCTGAGGTCACCAAAATGACTTTTGCTTTTATGTAGAAAGAAATCTATATTCAAGGAATATTTGCACAAAAGACATCTCAACTGAAGGGCAACTGAGAACTCACTTGTACACACGGGTGTTGTATCTCTTGTCTCCAGGAAAGCCGAACATGCCACAGATAACCCTGCTGTTCATTTGAATCCACTCATCATCACAAATCTGCTTCCACTTGCCTCCATCCTTCACCTCCACATAGCCCTCTGTTACTGGGATGCGCTTACGATATGATGACCGGATGGGGCGTATACGAACATCCTCCACCTGAATGTTCAGACTCTAAGGGGCGAAAGAAGACACGTATTGTTACTGCAAAATTAAAGCTGATTTATGGCATACAATGATTCTTGTATTAGCAATAAAAAAAATTCAGGGTGACAAACTGAAGGCCAGACATATTTTATGTTTTAACAAGGAATGTCCTGTCAGTAGGGTTACTCTAGTAAGGCTCCGTTTTCATATATATATATATATATATATATACTGTATATATTAGTGTAAAGTTTCAATTTGTTCTATGTCAGCATTATTCAATGTACCCATGTTGTGGAACTCTTAACTGGACACTTTAACTTTAACACTGTAAACTAAACCGGTTTTACAGTTCTTCACTTCATTATAAACATCCTATCAGCAGGACTCGTTGACCTGCTCCACCTCTGAAAAAACTTCCAGCCGTGTTTACCCTTAAGCCAACTACAATTCACGTCTGTAGCCAGACTGTAAAAATGCATTTAATGGGTTCTGACGTATATAGTAGATGGATAAAAAGGCAAAGAAGAGGTTACTGCCTTCAAGCTCACATCAAGTAATCCCAGACACCTTGATAATCAGGCAAAGGTGCATGGTTAAAATTCTTTCCCCAAATTTACTGGAGAGTCTGGAAAATTGAAGTACATGGAGAACATCTTACGCAACACTGAATATCAGAAGGTACGTCAACATATGACATTATTTATAATTAATTATATGGACTAACACCAAATTCTTCCAGGACGTATCTAGACCTACGTGAACTGTAAATGCGTCAGAAGGAATGAAGCCAAATCATTTCAGTAGACTCTTAAGACTACATGAAGAGCTTTAGAAGTAGATCTACATTCCTATGCAATGAGACCATGTGGGTTGAGTTTTGAAAGACTATATGAGATGCTGAGCTCAGCAAATATAGTGGCCTAAACATTCCATTGCCCTGTGTACCTTATGATATAGAACAGAAATCTTCAACAAGGGAGGTCTGTCAAAAACAGTTTAACCTCACATTTGTGAAATATGTTTACATTTGTGTTAAATACACTACCATTTAAAAGTTTGGGGTACATATATAAGATTTTTGTTTTAAAAAATACACTTTAATAATTTTATTCATCAAAGATCTATTAAAGGGGAAATGAAAATGAAAATGAAAAATGAAATTTTCCACTTTTTTTTTAGCTTTTTTTTGCATTTAGTTAGGTTTCTGGCATGTCTGCCAGCTCAGAAAAGTTGAAAAGAAAATACGCAGCCAGTTTGTTATGGGCTGTCTGAGTCTGAAACTGTGTCATCCAGCGAGCTGTTTCAATTTGCTGTCGCATTCTACTAGATAGCTATTAGCTAGCTATATGAATAAGACCAAGGCAGCAAATCATGTGTCTTGTGTGACACATGCAAAAAAATGTACATGGTTTCCACAAAAATATTAAGCAGAACAACTGTTTTCAAAATTGATAATAATAATAATAATAAGATATATTAAAAAAATATCTTAAAAACCAAATCATAGTAGTAGAATGATTTCTGAAGGATTATGTGACTCTGAAGACTGTAATGGCTGCTGAAAATCCGGCCTTGACATCACAGGAATAAATGGCATTAAAACAAATGTAAATATTAATATATTAAAATAGAAAGTGGTTATATTCATTTGTAATAATAATTCACAGTATTGCTGTTTTTTTTTTACTGTATTTGTGATACAAAAATATTCAGCCTTGATGAGCATGAGAGACTTTTGCTAACATCAACAAAAAACGACCCCAAACTCTTGAACAGTGGTACATGCATTAAAAACACATCATTAAATTAACTTTAACCAAAGTTAAAGATGCTAAACTAGACACTGTCTCTCATTCTCTCTTACACAATACAATTGTATTAAGTAAAACTTAAAAAAAAGAAAAAAAAAAGAATGACTTTGCAATGGCCAGGCATAAAAGTACTCCTTGGCCTGAAAAAGGTTGAAAAACCATTGCTGTAGAACATAACTTTTCATGAAAAGTGTAGGAGAACATGAAGTGATCATCCCCCTCCTCCCGACAACATAAACCAGAAAAGAGAGGGGTGTCTTTCATTAAAAAAAAAAAACCTCAAGCAAGTAATGCAAGCTGAAGTCAGAGATTTTGAACTAGGAATGAGAATGCGGTTGTGAATGAACATGTGGCATAGTAAAAGGGTATCCTTACTGTACCACACTGGAAACGCAAGCAGTGCTATTATGTGGGTTTATTCCAACATGGATACACTTTGTATAGAGTTCTAGAATGACAAGCGTTCATTCATGTGACCTAAAGACTATTATGGATTTTAAAATGTCCAGAATTTTCACAAGGCAAAACAAACCAACAAATGAACAACCAAGTACTCAAAAACATGAAATGGACATTTTTGGGCTTTTTTTGTAAATGGAATGGTCAGTCTTTTTTTAATGTCTCTGACAAAGCGGTTACAGCTGCAGGTTGAATAGATTTAATGAAGAACCGTGCCTTTCCAAAATCGAAATTTGTCTCTGTGGTCAGCAAAAGACATCAACATATAGAAGCAGTTTCTGTGACTTGGCGCAAAACCAAGTAAACCTTTCATAAACAGTTTTTGTTATCAAAGCTACTGTGTGATCCAACAAAGCATTCCCATCAAAGGCTGAAATAAAAAAGCTATAGGAAAACATCAGCTAAAACGGCAACACAGCAATCACCCCAACACAGCATCATGAATTTTTAAATATGTTGCATAACACATTGTTTGATGCTATTAAAAAGGGAATTTCCATCATAAGAAAGTAACTCTGTAGTCTTGATAAATCAGATTTTCCATTTTTTGAGTGAAGTCACCATTTACTTTGTGACTTGATCAGTGAGTTTAAAGACAAGTGCACATATCTCAGCTACACGAGGTTTCAATTAACTCTTTACTAAACAGGCAATGTGGAAAGTTTCAAATAAGGTTGGAAGAAAAAACACCTTGAGGTGTGATTTATTAGCACAAAAGAGGAAGAAAAAGACTTCCTAAATGTGTGGCTGGCTTCCATGGTAACTGGATTTTGCAGTTAGGAAAGAAAAATACAGCAGCTGGGATATTGATTTGTGAGGGCTTGTCCTTCTGTGGATGTAAGTAAGCATCTCAGGAGACTAGTCTGTCTTTCAAAAAGAAAAAAAGAGAACCCTCCTACTGCTCATACAGGAGAAGGAGTCAGAGGCGCAAGTGGTGAACTGACAGGCATTCTTCCACTGGCCGGCAGACAGATTGTGAAAAGGAAAATGTCACACAGCCCACATTGTTTTTTCCCTTCAAACAAGAAGAAGAGTGAGAGAGTTGAGAGGGTCTTCAACTAAACAATACAAATAACATAAAACTATTCCACAAATTGCCATTCAAAAAATATAATAAAGCAGCATACCCAAGTAAAAATTTCCAACCTACGAAAATATAAAACTTTAACCTAAAAACTTGCAGAGATCATTTTATTATAGATTTTTAACAACTTTGAATAACTTTACTGATGAAGAAAATTTAAATGTCTATGAATGTTTAAAATCCAAAAAGGAGTACAAATGGTAGATATTATTGTCACAAGCTAAATAGATGGAAACAAAGACATGGTAGTAACAAAAGTATCAAATGTAACGTTCATATTTCTGTATACTGAACAGGGTGTCCTGTTTTAGAAACTCTAGTGAATTCTGCTGTTAAAAATGGCTGTTTGTTCGTTTGTTTTTTGTTCAACTCTTTGCAAAGACATGTTAAAGAATGCTATTCTGCAGATGGAGCCCATTTCCTATTACCAATTTCCCTCCCTAACTTATAACAGTACAGTGTGTTAAAAAAATGCTCATAGTTTTTACATATAATTGCTGTTACTGAGCTTTTAAAACAGTCTAGATCGTCAACAGTTAACAAACAACCCTTATACTTTGCTGGACAACTGCCCTGGCCTGTCTTGTTAGACAGACTGAGAGCCTTAGCACAAGTGATGATTATCTATTTCCTAAAATAGCAAGATTGGAGTAGCAGTCTGGTGCCCATGTTTAATTGTCTTTTTATTCTTTCTCTGACTGCAACTATTTTAGCAGTTAATTCTGACCTAACAGTCTCCTACAAGAACTCTGAGGAAAAAGCAACACTGAACATTGGTGTCAGTTTTCAAGGAAAACATTTACACGTACAGAAATCTCAGAATCCTCAAAAATAGTTTTTCCACTTGGGTCTAAAGCAAATGTACTACAAAAACCACAAGCAATAGTCGCATGCTATACTGAATGTAGGGTGACTAAGTATTGAAGGCTAGGCTTAAGACTGAAAGAACAACTCTTCTCACAGTAAATGACACTGCTAGTCACATTAGCTGTGGTTTGATTTGCATTTTCAGAGATTACGCTTGCTACTTCATAGAGATAAACATCCTGTGTAATGTAGGGTGTGTCATTCCCCTTAAGTATGTAACTTGAAGGGGAGGAGAGGCAGATAAGTAAACACAATGAAGATTGATTTAAAGAGACAGTGAAAGCGAGTGTTTATGATAGTAATGAAACTGCTAACTGATCATTGAAATGTAGTGTAGTTCAAGGTTATTTTCAGTATGACATCCATCAAGCGTCTGTGGCATGCAGTTCATTACCTTAATTAGGGGTGTAATGGTACCGTGTACCGAACGGTTCACGGGCAACTTCCAAAGGGAAGCGATCATCCCTATCCCCTTGGAGTGGGGACTTTGGAGTGAGCAGGGCACGTGCGTGCCATTATGCAGTTGTTTTGAATGCACTTAGCAAAGGGAGCGATGTAATTTCCTCATTATCTTCAGCTGGGATGTTCCCGTGACAACGCAGCATGGTCCGTCAGCAGATTCGCTGATGGACACCGGCATTAAAAATTTACATTTTATATTTTAAAACGTTTTATATATATAATTTTTTTATATATTATATAGCATATTTTAAAATATTAAATTTATGTTTATTTGCAACAGTTATGCTAACAACAATAAAAAGACATTTATGACAGTAAAACAGCGACATCTGCTGACGGACACCGTGCTGCGTCCGTTCAGTACACGATATGTGTACCGTTACACCCCTACCTCAAATTTAATTTTGACTCATCCCTCAGTTATTAAAAGCATTTTCCACAACAGGAAATTTTTTTTACAGTCAAATCCTTTAAACAAGAATACTACTTTATTTCATTTACCCAAAGGTAAGGAATGACAGTCACATTTTGAACTTTGATGTGTGCAGGAAATGTATAGGGAATATACACTGCATAACATTTACATAATAGACAGCTTATAGACATATTAAGAATATCTGTGAAGTACAGTCTTGAAAAAAAGGTTTAAAAAGGGGGATTCATGGAACATGTAGAGTAAGAATAATTGTACATGCTGGGCCAGACTCCAGAGATGAGGAACATATTAGTCACTAGAAAAATAATGGCTGTTTCCGAGCTGATCAGCAGCATCTGTCTGAGATGAAGTGGTGGTGACTATGTTTATCTTCAGCTGTTGTAAAATTATTAACAAAAATTATTTCTAAAACACATTTCTATGAAATGCCTTACCTTAAAAATACATCTTTCAAAGTCATATTGAGCCCATCTAGGATTTTATGTTGTATCACTGTGAAAGAAACACAGTCGTCAACTCTTCAGCAAATAAATAATGCAACTTCCCCTGAACTCCGTAGTACTTCATAAAGGTACAAATTCCCTGTGTTGTAATCAAGGTATTGCATAATACGTGTCTGCATGGTAGGCCCTACAGGCTTCCAGCTGCTTCTGCGTGTCCCACTCTTCCATGATATTGGTGGATAAGAGCATTGGTCCAGATTTATACAGGGCTTGTATTGCCTATATTTATCAGAATTGGCAAAAATGGATTAATATAGTTTTCATGTATAGAGATAAATAAATGAAGTAAATGGCATGGAAACATTTACTAAAAGCATATGACTGTCTAACCACATACGTTTCTTTCCAAACAGGGAGAGCATCTTGTTCATTCACATTAAAAATTAGGCTGTACAAAAATATTCACAGATTTGACCAGCCAATCCTCTAAGACTTGCTGTAAAAAAAAGTCATGTAATGCCATAATTTAACTATAGCAGGGGTCTTCAACTAAAATTGCTTGATTGAACCCTCCTCACCAGCCGAGGTCCAGACAATTATATAGAAAAACATGAACTGATGGTTTTTGCCAGACCAGGGTATCTGCAGGATATTTGAACTCAAACTTAAGACTTTAAGACCTTGACTGTAAAAGCATGATTTACAGTTCAGATACAGGTTTTTCACAAAAAATAAAACGTTTTATAAAAAGATAAACTTCACATTTCAGCCTTTAAACCATTTTTTTAAGAAAATGGAGTCAAAAGTATAAATTATTAATTTAAACAATTATCATCAATCGTTATATTAATTAAATAACATATAAATATATTTTACTGTCTTAATTGTTTAGAGTATTATGATTCATTATGTTCTTGTCGATAGGCCTGTCACGATAACAACTTTCTGTTGTGCGATATATTGCCCCAGAAATAATTGTGATAAGCAATATTATTGTCATTTTAAAGACCATTTTATGCCACTTAATATATAATCATAATGTAACAGCATAATAATGCAAGAAGGCCTACACACTTCCAAAAAACTTTTAATTTTTAAGAATATATAGATCATGGAAATTAAATACTGAAATATCAGATACCTTAAAAAACCTGAATAAATAGTAAATAAAAAAAATTCTAACAAAAAGTGCAAAGTAACAAGTAGAAAAAAAGAAAAACACAAAGACCTTGTATGGAGATTTTTCCATACAGATTTTTCCCCGACCTTCTTTTCTCTGAAAATTAATGGTGCACACTATTGCTGAAAAACACAATCACTTCTTAGCAGTCAGATGTCCGCATGCACAAAGGCACAGATCCCTAAACAAGACCATATCTGCAGATTAAACTTTTTTTTTGTAGAAGCATTTTTTAAAATTTGAACAAGCACTTCATGACTACACCACGTTATGTACGAGAAGCTGCAAAAGACACAGGAACAAGTGGAATGTACAAACATGGTGACATTAATTTTTAAGTAAATATAATGGGTGATATATTGCGTCACCAAAAATTATTGAGGTCATGTACATATATTGTGCGATAAGTCGATATATTGATTATTGCGACAGGCCTACTTGTCGATCCATCAGTTCACATTTACAACTCTGCGTGTTTGTAGCGTAAAAACATGGTTTGATTTTCACATTGGTCTGAACCAGGGGTGGGCAAACTTGGCCCTTCCAGGCCACTTTCCTTCAGAGGTTAGCTCCAATCCTAATCAAACACACCTGAACCAGCTAATCATTGTCTTCAAGACTACTAGAAGGCTACAGTCAGGTGAGTCATATCAGAGTTGGATCAAATCTCTGCAGGAAAGTGGCCTGGAAGGGCCATGTTTACTCATCACTGGTCTGAACAAAAACAGCAGACGGGCTTATTGAAAATGCACAGAAATAATGGTTTCCCCGGTAACAGCTGTACACAGAGCAGCACAGCACGTGACTTTGAAACATGCAGCGCTTGTGTTTAATGAGATCATCGCCTTTTGAAGTTTATTCGTCTCATTAAGCCGTATCGCAATTCTTGTCTTTCCGTCCCCAAATTTAAGACCTCCTGAAAACATAATTAAGACTTTCTTGTACCATTTAAGTTTGAGTTTTTATGGCATACAATGTATAGCCTTAAATCTCATACAACTAAATTGAAGACTTTTTAAGGACCTGTCAACTTTCCTAATCTTTGAGAATGCCATTGTTTTTCACTCACTGAAAGTTTCATTTGCTTTCTGCTCTCTTCACTGCACGCACAACCGCATGTCTGAATGTAGCAACAGTTAACTGTAGTAGCAACCCGTGTCACCGTAGGACCCAGACAGCTCTACTGAGCTGACATTGATGTGCTTGATATAAACTAGATTTTATTACAAAACAGCGTTTGGCATTTATTTCATAATGTCAAAAGGCTTTGCGATCCGGATTCATGTTCACCGGAGTCACTGGTTATTTGAGGCACACAAATATTTGCAGCTTTTTGGATGGGTTCAGAAAAGTACACTGTATTTTCAGGTTTTTGGTTTAAAACAACTTGACAAGATGATTAGATCAATGCATCTGATAAAGTGGACCAGTGTGTTATTACGTATTCTATAAAAATATTACACTTTTAATGACAACAGTTATTCCATACCACTACCACTATTCTCCCCCAAGGCCTGTCTGCATATTCTTTTGAAGTCTCAACTTTGGACTCTCCTCCACATATGCCATTTCTGCACTACACTTATACATTACATAATTTTTCCCATTTTAACCCGAGGAAGGCCACAGTGGGCTGCCTATGAACATTCCCAGAAGACTTGAATGTGGCCGGCATTATGGTAAACCTCCCTTTGATTTAACTGCCTTAATGTGGAGCCCTTGCAGGCTATCAGTAGATGGAAAAGCTGACTCTGGCATTCTCTCCAGGAGACTACCAAATAGAAGCTGATCTAAGACGTCTAGAGTTCCCTCTAGTCCCTGCTTGACTCATATATTTCCTATTCTTTTAGAAAAGGCAATAATAATGAAATTCAGACACAATAGGTATCTTTCTGAAAACTACATGTGTAAGTATATTCAGATTTGCTGCAAATTACAGTGGTGATAAATGCTCAGATGGGCATTCATTAAGGTTTCCATTTGGTATTACACTGAGAATTACAATAAAAGTTTCTGAAATCTTATTTGTCACATCTTCTATAGTCTATATTTCATCATAAGTCTGGAATTACAGTTCTCTTTGTTTACAAGAGCGCTTATCATGAAGTATTTGTCTGCATGCTTAATGCATTCTTTCAAGATGACGCTGTTGGCTCTGAGCAGCCTGTGGACAGGATGACAGGATGGGTACAAATCCTGTTATTACTCTAACTGGACTCAGAAATGAATTTAGACAAAGCCAAGTAACATAAATCTGGGTAGAGTAAAAAAATGTGCCAAGAAGGCGTTTAAACATTCCATTGTCATATGCCTAGCAACCAAGCCACTTAGCTCTGGGTGCAAAAATAAATGGAAAAGAATGCATCGAACCATTGGAAATGTGATCTAAGGAAAAAAAGCAACAATAGTTTCAGGGGCATCCCGCACCAAGTTTCCCCTACCTGGAAATTATTTCATGAGGGGCCCGCAGAAAAAACCTGCACCTCGGCCCCAGATGGAGAACTTGACTGCCAGTAAAAACAAATTATGTACTTGTACGTGAATTATGAACACACATTATTAACACATTTGTTGTCGCTGTTCCAGAATATTAAGAATTTTAGGTCTTAATTTTAAGTCCTGCATTGATTCAGTCCTCCATGTATTACAGAAACAAATTAAGTGTAAACCATCTGGACTGATCACCGCAAGGCTAAACTGCACCTTTTTACTGCGTTCGACAGTGCATTTTGTGAATCAGAGGCTGCGTTGCACCTGCACAGATTTCCTAGCATGTGCAGCAAGTCATCTTTACAAAATGCACTTAAATGGATATGTAACACATCTCTCATTAAATTCTAAAACTGTTCGGTTGTATTGTGTTCGGTTGTGTTGTGACAAATTAATATTTTGTAACATTTTGGACAGATTTCCCCTAAAAAACCACATTGGTTTTGCACGAATCACTAAATGACATATTTTGGCTTCAAAATGGGCGAAATTCACTAAAAGGCTTTGGGGCACTATTCATTTTGTACCTACAATAATAAGGAACATGACAGTAAAAATATTTATTTGTGTCCTTTGGAAGTTGCATTCAAAACCATTTAGCTCAAAAATTTGAATGGGCATGATGCCACTGAATAGTTTTAGACAATAACAGATCTGTACAAACACATCTGTATTAAATTCACTTACATTGATGTTGTTGGTAAGGGTGTTCACAAACTTGAATCCTGGGATTCTCTTGTCACTGCAAACCACCCCGACATCCTCAGTATGCTTACAATCAGACACTCCTATGCCATTAGACTCACACTGGGCCAAGCTCCTCTCATTCCCCGTGCAGTGGACATTGTCAAACCAGATACGACCTAAAAACACAGGAAGTCAGTGCACATATATTCTAAAAGTCATCAATACTCCATAAAATAATATCACTGAAATATTGCCAATATTCACTGTTTTGCTAATTCTTTCATAATTATTATGCATGCAGCTTTAAAATTAATTTGTCACAGCAATGGTTCATTTAAAACTGTCAAAGTCAAAAGGGTGGTTAAAACAATAAAAAAAAAACATGGTGACCAATTCTAGAACCAAATATTCATATACATTTAACCTAAAATCTTAATGTTGATTTAAAAAAAAAAAAAAAAGAATTTCATGGACATGTACTAACCTATACTATCAAAGGAATAGTTCACCTAAAAAATCCAATTTGATAGAATTGTCTCACTTTCAGGCCATCCAAAATGTAGATGAGTTTGTTTCTTCACTGGAACAGATTTGGATAAATTTTGCATTCCATCACTTGCTCACCGATGGATCCTCTGCAGTGAATGGGTGCCATCAAAATAAGACTGCAAACAGCCGATAGAAACATCACAATAATCCACAAGTAATCCACATGACTCTAGATTACTGTGATATTTTTATCAGTTATTTGGACTCTCATTCTGACAGCACCCATTCACGTCATTGGTGAGCAAGACATGTAAAGCAATTTTTTTAATCTAAGATGGCTTGAGGGTGAGTAAATTTTCATACATTTTTAATTTTTGGGTGAACTTTTTCTTTAACTGCAATGTGATTTTAATTGAGAATAATGCATCAGTGTCACATGATATCATTCTGAACACTAGCTTACCTTCTCCCTTCCCATATTTAGATGAGGGAAACCAGGAGACTGCTTCAAAATAACCCAGTTCTCTGCATACAACTTGGGCTGCATGAATGGTGAAATCATCATCACACACAGTCCCCCACTCCCCTTCATAGAAGACCTCAACGCGCCCTTCGTTGTGCTTGCGTTTCTCTCCTGCCAGACGTAGCGGTACCCTGGGCATATCTTTAGGAAGCTCTGGAACAGTATAAAGGTCCTGTGCAGGGTCTTGGTAGCCCGGAAGGTAACCCAAATGGTCATACTGTGCATAACTAAATCTCCATACGCACAACAGTACAAATGACACAGACCAGAAGGCTAGCATAATGATAGAGGCTCAGAAGGTTTTTATGGCCTACAAAAAAAACAAAAAACATATGAAAAGTGAAAGTGAAGCAATGGAAGTAGATTTTATTGTTATTACTCTTTATTATTACTATTTATTGTAATTCATAAATTTTAATACATTTCTGTTGTGACAAGTCAGAAGCGTTTGGATCCATTTGCAGCTTTTATTTAGAATAGTCAAATACAGAGAATAGAATAGAAAAAGAGAATACAGGGTCAAATACCAGCAAGACAGAACAGCATGGGCTTGGACAGAGACAGGGTCGAATACCAGGTGAGAGATCAGGGCAGGTGGCAAACACAGTCCAGGTGAAACAATCCAAGATCGAGGCAGGCAGAGAACAATCAGATAAACAGGAAACAGTCCAAGATCAAGTACAAAGGAAGCAAACACGGGTATAACGCTCAGAAATTAAAGCCAGGGCAAATCAAGACTTCGCAGAGAGTCTGTGTGTGTGAGTGGCTTATATGTGTGTGTGTAAATGAGGTGCAGGTGTGGATGGGCAATCAGTCCCAGGTATGAGGAGTGATGGGAATTGGAGTCCGAATGGGAATGGTTAATATTCAGGAAACAGTTCCCTCTGGTGGTGCGGAGGAGGCGGTATGGGAGCCTCCTCTGTAACAGAGCCCTCCCCCTGCGAGCAGCTCCTGACGCGAGGAAGCACACGACGCCGGGGTCTCCCAAACGATCGGGGGGCCGGTTTCTCCGGATGCGTTCTATGAAACTCCTCAGTGAGTGTGGGGTCAAGGACATGTCCAGTGTTGACCCAAGATCGCTCCTCCGGACCGAACCCCTCCCAAATGACCAGATACTGGAGGGTACCGCCCCGGCATCTGGAGTCTAGCAACTCGTGCACTCGATACGCCTCCTCGCCATCAACCAGGAAAGGCAGGGGGGTCTGCGGTCTGGCTCCCTCCTCCGTCTCTCCTCTCGGACCACCAGCGGGTTTCAGAAGTGATACATGGAATGTGGTAATTAGAAGGCGAAATGATACTGGAGATATTTGTCTAGAAATTTTGAAGGGACCAACATACCTGGGACTGAGCTTTTTACATGGAAGTCAGAGCCGTAGATCTTTGGTTGAAAGCCAAACCCATTGGCCTGGGGTGTACTCGGGACTGGGACGTCAATGTCGGATGGCTTGTTGTTCTTGACGCCTTACGGCATGAAGTAGGTGAGTATGTGCCCGGTCCCAGACCTCCTCGCTGTGTTGCAACCAATCTGTAACTGAAGGTAATTCGGTGGGTTCGCCAGACCAGGGAAACAATGAAGGTTGGAAGCCCAGAATGCACTTGAAAGGGGTCATACCGGTGGCGGGTTTCATCAATGAGTTTTGGGCATATTCTGCCCATAGCAAGTACCTGCTCCAGTCTGATTGTTGTTGTTGACAGTATGATCTGAGGAATCGTATCACCTTCTGATTCAGGCGCTCAGTTTGCCCGTTGGATTGGGGATGATAGCCGGACGTGAGGCTGATGTTCACATTGAGATACCATACCCGGACCATACCATAGAAGTGAACTGGGGTCCTCGATCGGATACTATGTCTTCGGGTAATCCGTAGAAACGGAACACATGATTACAAAGTAGTTCAGCGGTTTCGAAGGATGTGGGGAGTTTAGGCAGCGGAATCAGATGGCAGGCTTTGGAGAATCGGTCAACAATGGTGAGTATAGTGGTGTTATCTTAAGAATTGGGCAGGTCGGTGATGAAATCGATGGCAATATGAGACCAAGGTCGGTGTGGTGTAGGTAGTGGATTTAGCAAACCGGCTGGAAGCTGTCTAGTATGGCGTTATTTTAATGACAAATGTTGAGAGCGCATAATTGTAGCGCGAAAGCACATTAATGGTCGAAGGGATTCAGGGACATAGGTGAGGTTTGCAGGGCATTCAGGAGGCGGCAGATTTAGAAGATTCAGATGTTCAATCTCAGCCATGATATCCCATTGTACTGGTGCCAAGAGCAGCTTGTCGGGAATTATATTGTCGTTGGCGATGGATTGGATTGTTTCCTCAGTTTGGCGAGAGAGAGCGTCAGCCTTGGTATTCTTGGTGCCTGGCCGGTATGTCACCATGAACCGAAACCTTGTGAAAAACAATGCCCACCTGTCCTGTCGGGGGTTTAGACGCTTAGCTGAGCGCAGATACTCAAGATTTTTATGATCCGTGAGAACGATGAATGGATGAGCAGCTCCCTCCAGCCAATGACGCCATTCCTCAAGCGCTAACTTTATAGCAAGAAGTTCACGGTTGCCCACGTCGTAATTCCGTTCCGTGGCTGTGAGTTTGTGGGAGAAAAAGGCACACGGATACATCTTCGCTGGTGAACCATGACGTTGAGACAGTATTGCCCCTACCCCCATGTTAGAAGCGTCGACCTCCACAATGAACTCGCGTTCTGGGTCAGGGTGTCGAAGGATGGGTGCAGAAGTGAACCGAGTCAAACCGAGGTTTGATGGAATTCACACTTTTCAGCTTTGGCATAGAGTTGGTATTTCAGCACTGATCTAACGTGATGAATGTGTTCCTCCAGAGTGTTTTAATAAATCAGTATATCGTCAATGTATACGATTACCCATCTGTCGAGCATGTCACGGACGATGTCATTCATAAACGACTGAAAGACTGACGGACTGTTGGCAAGGCCGAAGGGCATAACCAAGTATTTATAATGCCCACTAGTGGTCGAGAATGCCGTTTTCCATTCATCTCCCTCTCGGATACGAATCAGGTTATAGGCATTGCATAGATCTAGCTTGGTGTAATACTTGGCCCGGCGAAGCTGTTCTAGCACGGCTGGGACTAGGGGCAATGGATAACGGAACTTAATGGTGATATCGTTAAGGCCACGGTAATCAGTGCACGGCCGCAAACCTCCATCCTTTTTCTTTACAAAAAAGAACCCGGCTGAAGCAGGAGAGGTTGAGGGTTGGATGAATCATTTAGCTAATTCCTCCTCGATGTAGAGTTTCATGGCTTCAGATTCTGGTTGTGATAACGGGAAAATTCTACCTTTAGGAGGAGTGGCGCCCGGCGTTATGTCTATGGCACAGTCGACAGAACGGTGAGTGGGGAGCTGAGATGCTTTCTTTTTACTGAACGCCCCGGTGAGATCAGAGTACTCTGGGGGCAGGTTCAGGTTGTCTGTGCTCCGAACAGGTGAGGAAGGTGCATGACTGGAAGCTCAGGGAATCTTTGAGAGACAACGATCTTGGCATGTAGCGGCCCACTGAAGAATTTGTCCTTCTCTCCAAGAGATGCGTGGATTATGTGTGCGCAGCCAGGGTAATCCGAGAATAATAGAGTGATTAGGCGAATGGATGACGTAGAATCGGATGAATTCAGAGTGCAGGGTTCCTATTTGCAACTTGACTTCTTCTGTGATGCGTAGAACCTTTCCCTCTACAAGAGGGCGGCCGTCTGGCCTCCACTGCCATGGGAGAGTTACAGGGGGTTAGTTTCAGTTTATGTTGCAGAGCGAAATCATATGACACAAAATTACCGGCTGCTCCAGAATCTAACAGAGCAGTAGTGGTAATTATTTTGTCTTGAATAAATGCAGATGCAGAAGTTGCAATACGAGTATTGACACTCACCGATCGAAAACTGGAAGACGGACGGACCGGGCAGGAGATTTTAATGTGTATGGCTTGACTGCAATAGAGGCAAAGTTGGTTCTGCATGCGGAGTTCTCGTTCCTCGGAAGTGAGGTGAGTGAATCCTAGTTGAATGGGTTCGGCTGTGGTAGTGGTTTCAGGCATGTAACGGGGCATGGCTCGAGTTGAGCGTCGAGAGCGGATCAAATTGTCAATTTGGATAGCGAGTTCAATGAACTCACTCAAACTCTTTCCTTCATCCCGGCAGGCCAGCACCGACTGAAGCTCTAAATTCAATCCCCTCCTAAACAAGAGCTTTAGCGTGTCCTCTACCCATGTAGTCTGGGCCACGAGGGTTCGAAAGGATAGGGCTTACTCGGCGGCCTATTTTCTCCCTTGAGAGAGAGTTAACAGTTGATCACCCACACTCCTCCCCTCGGCTGGATGTTCGAAAACATCACGGAAATGTTGAAGGAATGCATCGAAGGTGGGAAATGACTAACCATTCATCCTCCAGACAGCGGTGACCCACTCTAGCGCCTTCCCAGTGAGTAATGAGCAAACAAAAGCAATGCGGCTAGAGTCTGTGTGGTACAGCGAGGGCTGTTAGCTAACAAAAAGCGAGCACTGGAGTAGGAAGCCTTTGCATCTGGCGGGTTCACCATCAAATTTTTCAGGGAAAGCGAGTCGTGGACTGATTGGGGGTGTCTGAGCAGGTGGAAGGCTACTGCGGATAGGCGGCTGCTGAGATGTTCGGGTCCTCCTCTGTAACAATTTCCTGCTGGCCATTTATGTGTACTTTTTTAATCAAAAGCACTTTTATCAAAGTCTTGAGCTCAAGGAGAAAAGCATGTGAATTCTCATCCATCACCAAATCAGCCCACATCAAAGAGTGCAATAATGAGGACACAGAGACTTGTTTAGACCACGCTGTACTATTCATCTACAATGTCCATGCCCTAACCAGAAACATATCAAATTCACTTTCAATATCAAGGAAAAGAATCATGTTCTTATCAGAAAATACAGTTTAATTGAAAATAAAGTTTGACAGATGACACTTTAATGGGGATGAGGTAATTGGTTTCCTGACTGGGAGGAAAACACTTCATACACAGTGGAGTACAAAATTCAAATTGAAAATCTGAAAACCTAAATTGAAAACCTAATTTAAACATGGTAATACACAGAATGTTTTAGGATGTAAATCGAATAATAATTATTTGGGATTCTGAACTAGTTTTACATCTTAATTATTCAACTAAGCAAATTTGAGACATTGTGAAGTCTTTTGTACAAAAGGTCATTTTCAAATATATAACAATAATATATAAATATATAACAAATATATATGGCTGATCAGGTTATGCAATGTGTAATGCCTTTTTTTCCCCAATTCAGTTTTCTCTATTTTTAATGCTGATAATATAATTTGACAATAAAAAATATTAATTAAAAAAGTATTAAATTAAAAAATGCTAAATACATGCTAGGGTTCTCAACCGTGTGAACCCCACTGTGCAGAAAAGTGATTAACAGAGTGAGTCTTCAAGACGTTTTGGTTCTCCAGTACCCACTGGCATGCAAGAGTTTGTCTTAAAAGCAAAAAAAAAAAAACCTAACATGCTTCCAAGGGTTCCCTTAAGGTCGCCACTCCAAGATAAAAGAGGCACTTCAACAAAAGCACTTTTTAAGACTTTCCGCTCACTTTCTCAAACACATTCAAAAAGTTATTGTCTAAAATACATCACAATGGTGAAGCCTGTAACCTAAACTAAAACTAAATGTGTAAACTAAATTACACAAGCATGAATACATCTTTCAGGATCTTTTCAAGATCATAGGATGCATTGTCCAAATGCATGTGGCAAACAGACATGGGCCCCAGAAGTCTCAATGATTGGTCAACATTTCAATCTGCTCTACAGCAGCCTACTGTGGCAATTCTTTTAAAAATGTGCTTGGTCTAAAGGGAATTTACGTAAAGCTCACCACACCCAAAGGGTTTGTTCAGAAATGTATTTGGTATACGTTTGTTCGCCTGGACAAGACCTATTGCTCTGAGCCATCTACAGCTTTGGAACTACCTCACATTCCTGTCCTAAAGACCTGGTTCTTGTCTGTTAGTATTTTGCGCTTCCAGACAGCAAGTCCCCTGTCCACCATGAATAGGATTCTGACAGGATATATGTCAAGGGGTCACAGTCCTGTGTAGTACTACCTAAACACAATAACCCAGTGTTCTACCTGAACAAATAGCAAAGGCACAGACCCCCTTTTGCAGAGGCTGTAATGTTCATTAATAGTGAATAATGTAAACAGGTTGTCGTTAAAAACATATGAGTATAAATATATATTATGCAATCACATAAACCAACACAACTTTAGTCATAAACTGCTTGTACTTGCATTCTATCCCACTAACTCTCTCTCTCTCTCTCTCTCATCTTACAAATTAACGTGCTGTATTGTAAAACCAGAATGTCAGGTAACAGATTTTAAAACGAAATATTCAGCACAACTCTGATTATTTTCTTTGCAAGAAGCAAAATAAATGCGATTATACAATAGCTTAATAAAGCAAAGCAGATGCAGTTGTCAGCTTACTTTGGCTGCGAGTGCAACTTTCACAGTTGAATACTCCTGCGATTGTGAATCTCCGCTTCTCTCAGCTGCTGCACATCCCCTAAACTTTCACTGGTTGATCTCCACGTACAATTTCAGTAAAGTCGAAACAAAGTTACTCCTTGTAGAACTGCCCCCTCACGCCCACCACTGTGGGCTGGTGACCTCATGGACCTCCAGTCGCACGGGCACATAGCTGGAATTTTTGAGGAAACAGACATCATGTACGTGCCTAAAAAGTCGGTTGTTTTAAACCAAAAATAATAAATGTGATGGATTAAATAATATTCTAGCCTGACGAGCACTTTAGGTGACTGGTGGAGAGTTTTCTGGAGGAGGGGAAGCAAACAAATTTCACTAATAGTAGGCTACTTCTGTACGTTGGTGTTGTCGCTTTGGTTTGGGACGAATATATTCCAGTAAAACGAATATCATCCGTTAACCTCATAGTTATTTTCAATTTTTTAACGAATCCTTTTTAATGCGATCTTGTCAATGAATCCGTTGAACCGCTTCACAAAACCGGACTGCATGATTCTTTCTGATTCGTGGCTGAATTCGGCAAAGCATACTAGCATACATACACTCTAAAAAATGCTGGGTTAAATATAACCCAGCGCTGGGTCAAAACAACCCAATCGCTGGGTTTGTCCCTTTTTATATTTAACCCAGCATTTTTTAGAGTGTAGCCTACTATCCATCCAGTCATTTGTTTGTCCTAGCAAACATACTAGTCTTCATATTTCTGCCATATAAAAGTAATGCAGTAGAAATAGAAACAGTAATAGCCTATGGTTGCTCACATTTAGCTCAAACATTGGTTTTAATACCTTTTTCAGCAAAGAAATTTCTGCTACATTTATATACGATTGTTTATTGCCAATACAATTTATTTTAGGTTCTAAATATATTTTATGAACGTAATCATGGCTGTAAACTGATATGAATAAATAAAAGTTGATCGGGGACCAATTACGCAATGACGTAAAACAACAGCTGAACATAACAGCTTTTTTTTAACTGGTTCTTTAAAACGAACCGTTCGAAAGATTCGTTTCGCCGAAATGAGTCGGACATCTCATCACTGGAACCGCTGTTTGTTCTCTTGTGGGATATTAATGTATCCACCTTTTCATTGTTGTATAAATGGGCGCGGCAATTTGTAAATTCTATGGGTCTGGCTTCCGGTCTCATCTGCGTCCAGTTATTTTTAGCTGAACAAAACAGTTCGTTTTGCTGCTTGATATTGAAAGTTGGTGCGTCTTATATTATTTTAGTGTATTATCTTAATTATGAACACACTGGTTTGTAGTGCAAACAGTTTTACCAGCTACTACATGTTGTTGTTATTCTCGTTATTTATCTATAGCGGCTAATGAACCGGAAGTCTCACCCATAGGCTTACTTCCGTGTTGAAGAAAAAGGTGGATAGTGCCATCTTGAAGTTGGTGAAGTTAGGAGAACAGAACCGTGCATAAATGCTAATTAGAGTTCACTAGTCAGATTACAGATGTGTCCTGAGAAAGATTTTCCACTTGCTTTAATTCTATAATAAGTATTAGAATTACTTTGAAAAAGCCTGATTACTGAAAACATAAAATATATTAAAAAAATTAATGAATAATATATACCATAATATACATGACAGCAGTCACAGTCTCCCTCTCTACTGTATTTTCTTAGGCTCCTCCCCCTAGTCCTACTTCCAAGATCATTAGTCTCACTCTCTGCACTGTATTCTCACACACTTCTCTGGTTGAAGGAAGGAGGGAAGGTTATTTCAGAAATGTTCAAATTACAGGCAACTCTCTCAGTAATGGATGAATCCCTGAAGTCTTTGGATATTAAACTATCTGCAAATATACCCCGAAGAACGGATGCTTGATCAAAGGACTTCATTTTTCAGGTTGCAGCCAGGGTAATAGGGACATCCCAGAAGATGGTAAACCAGACTGAAGGTTATGTCTCAGAGCTAATAACTCGCTCCACGACTGCTTGTCTGCTTTTCATTTTTGTGCTCTCCACCTTTCTAGGGAATGCTCTGGTGTGCACCGCAGTGGTACGGTTCCGTCATCTGCGCTCCAAAGTGGCGTATGTGTTTGTAGTGTCTTTGGCTGTCTCAGATCTCTTAGTTGCCTCTCTTGTAATGCCATGGAAGGCAGCCGCTGAGATTGTGGGTTTCTGGCCGTTCGGCAGTTTCTGTGAAGTATGGATAGCCTTTGACATCATGTGCTCCACTGCCTCCATTCTTAACCTGTGCATCATAAGTGTGGATCGTTACTGGGCTATTGCTATCCCTTTGAGCTACGAGCAGAAAATGACAAGAAGAGTGGCATTTGTGATGATTGGAGTGGCATGGATGCTCTCTGTTCTGATCTCATTCATTCCTGTGCAGCTAAGTTGGCATAAGAGTCTCCGCCATAAAGAAGACCTGGGAGAAATGGCTGAAAAGTGTGATGCCAGTTTAAACCACACTTACGCCATCACTTCATCTGTAATCAGCTTCTACATCCCTGTCTCCATAATGATTGTCACTTACACTCGCATCTTCCTCATAGCGCAAAGGCAGATCCGAAGGATATCAATGCAAGAGTGCACCATTAAGCACGTTCAGTTCTGCCAGAGCTGCAATAAAGCACCTGAAGAGAAGTTAAAAAGTGCATTTAAGAGGGAAACCAAAGTCCTGAAAACCCTGTCGATGATCATGGGTGTGTTTGTCTGCTGTTGGCTCCCTTTCTTCATTCTCAACTGCATGGTGCCATTTTGTGACTCTGGCCTCCACAACACCGGACAGATCCCATGTGTCAATAAGACAACTTTTGATGTGTTCGTGTGGTGTGGGTGGGCGAACTCTACCTTGAATCCTGTAGTTTATGCATTTAATGCAGAATTCCGCAAAGCTTTCTCCAGTCTCTTGGGATGTGGGAAGTTGTGCTCTCGGAATACTGTGCAAACGGTTGACTTCAGCAATGAGCTGGTGTCATACCATCGCGACTCCACAAACCTTCAAGACATTCCCTTCTTCGGTCACCCCTGTCTGCATCCGCATGCTGTCAGGGAGGAAAGTGATAAAGATATGTGCTTTGACACAGTGTCAGATGGCTGAAGTCCCTTATGAGACTGAATGTAACTTTGTATATGGGGAAAGGCCTCCTATGCTAAGTCATGGAGAAACAGAACTATCATTGGATAAAATCATACCATTTACAGAAGAAGATGAGTTAGCGTCTCTTAAACATGTGGCTCATAATGAAAGTGAATCTCCTAGTATCTCTGGAATATTGTGATCTTTAAATATGTTTTGGTGGTGTGTTTTGAAAATAATTAGTAAGACCATGAGTAATTGAACTGGCTTAGAGACCTGTTTTTGATTGTTGTTTCTACATTACTCTGCTCATGAATCATTCAAAAGGTCACTCATTGTGAGATATATATAGATTCCATACAGAGCTTTAAAATTAATTTTATCATATAAAGCTAATAATGCAGTACCAACTATTATTTCTACTTGAACAATGCTCAGTCTTTTTCAGTTAAATATGTTAATGGAGGAAATAATAATCACATGTCTGTCATCTTGAAGATTTTTGTTTACTTTAACACCTGACTTTGAAACGACTCCTGTATTCACTCATAAAGGGAAAAGGCACTGACAGGTTGTTGTTTTTCTCTTCTTTTACCTGCTGCTTTTTTTTTAAACCTCGTATTATTTGATAAAATACTTTGAATATTTACATTTGCCAATCCACAGGCAAAAACAATCAAAATTGCGAAAAACTTTAATCAAAATGGTGAAATCATGTCCAGTGACATTTACAGTCCCATATACACTCATATCAATTTTAAGCTAAAATCTTTGTTGATTTTTTTATACAAAAAAGAGGTCTGCCCAAAGTATTCAATGGCTTTTAATAAGAAAAATGTGCCCTTAACTGAAAAACATTAAATTTAACATGAATGTACATTCTCTTAAGCAGATAAAGAAAGCAAATGAGCACTCATCTTCTGATACCATATTTGTTTTTATTGGGAGTTTTGTACTAAAATAGGTTTTGGACAAAATATAGGTTTATGAGTAAATGTTAAGAACAATAGTATACAAAAAATAAACAACAACTGATGGAATCTTGCCTTGTGTAGTAACATTCAACAAACCATTAACAATGAATAAATTAAATGTGTTCTGTATTGCTATATTTACAGGAAAGTCTAGTATAATCCTATACAAAATATAAATATTACACGAATCAGTGACAGTGATAAAACACTCATCCTGTTTAGTCACATAAGCTCTCAGGTACGTGCACACGATGAACTAACTAATGACATTTCGGACACTTTCCAACCAGCGGACTCTTCTGTCTAATCTGTGAAGGATTGAAAAGCTACAGCAAATAATCGGCTTTGTACATCAGGTACAGAGGTAGACTGTCATGTGTACAAACCGATATTTTACAGAAGTATATATCTGTGCTGCTCGTTCGGGCTGGTGATATTTATAAGCAATAAGACCCTATCCAACAAGACAGCTCAAAAAAGTGTCACATCCCACCCAAAAAACATTTTCTCAGTCTATTAAAAAGGCATTAGCCTTCTTACATGCGTTAGGAACATTTGCACTTTTGTGAAGATGGGGTGGCTCTTACAAGAGCCTTTGGTTTATGGAGTGAAGTCTGGCAGTCTACTTCTTCTTAGCGGCCGTCTTCTTCGCCTTGGCAGACTTGGGCTTTGCGGCTTTAGGCTTCACTGCTTTGACCTTCTTAGGACTCTTTGCAACTTTCTTCACAGCCGGTTTCTTCACTTTCTTCGGGCTTTTGGCGGCTTTCTTGGGCGCAGCCGGTTTCTTCACTTTCTTGGGAGACTTCTTCGGGGCAGGTTTCTTTACTGGTGCCTTTTTGGGCTTCGCCGCCTTGGCCGCCGCCTTCTTCTTCACGGCTGGTCTCTTCGGTTTCGCCACAACTTTCTTAACGGGCTTCTTGGCGGCTGGTTTCTTGCTCAGCTTGAAAGATCCGGATGCCCCGGTGCCTTTAGTTTGAACAAGCGCCCCCTTTTTCACCAGCGATTTCAAAGCAATCTTGACGCGAGAGTTGTTTTTCTCAACGTCATATCCACCACCTGCCAAAGCCTTCTTCAGAGCCGCGAGAGAAACTCCTCTGCGCTCGTTGGAAGCGCCAACCGCCTTCACGATAAGGTCCGACACGCTTGGTCCAGGCTTTTTCGCCGTTGCCTTCTTCTTCTTTTGGGCTTTGGCCGGTGCAGCCGCGGGAGCAGGAGCAGTTTCTGCCATAGTTTCAGTAAACTTGTCACGTAGTACAGAGCTGTCAAACAAACAATGTTTACATCCAACAGCTGAGGGCGGGATTTAAAAGGGAGATGAGAACCATATAGACTCAACTGCCTCACCCGACGCTCTCAACAGGACAGAGTCGTTCGTAGATGTGTTTTCTGATCTTGAAAAACACAAGGTTTTCCGCGATAAAGATCGATGGATTGTAGACTTTAAACCACGTCCCGATAGCTGAGTCTTTCCTCTTTAAGGGCAGCTCATGTTTCGTGTAAAACATCGCTCGGTTTATTGTAGAATAATAAAAACGCGTCCAAATTTAGTGCGAGTCGCAGCGGGAAATATCGCACTTCCTCTGTTGTTTTGTAGATTATATATTAAAATTCGAAAATCACATCTAAAATGATGGACACTTTACACAGAAAAGACCCTAATCTACACATCTGTGGTGGTTTTAGACTAAGACAGCTCAAGGAATAAAAAATTGAAGCGTTTTTCTTTAGTGAAGGTAACACAGATCGGCGCTGTCGCCATTTCAACCTCCCCTAATCTCATTCTTTCTGCAATGATCTATTAATGATCATATCTGAGGTACATCCAGTACATGATTCGAATAACTTATATATAAGCAAGTTTACCAACATTACACATTTAAAGGCGTTGCCTGTTAGTAATAAAACGGGAGTTTGTAGTATCTAAAGGGAAAGTGCTCTCAACAGTCGAGGAGTGCCATAACAGAGGCAAGCGATCTCGGTGTATAATGTTGTTCTGATGAATTTATGGGAATTTTTTCAACATGTTAATACTTACAAACACTTTACTATTCTTACAATTATATTTAGTGGTTGTAAAAAGGCCATACGTCACTTTTTATCCGAATAGGCTTAATAACGGCAAGGATGTTCACTAGGTTCCTTCATTGTCCAGCGCGGAGCTATTGCTTCACGTAGTTTCTGTACTGTGATGTTGTACAGAACTTTAAACAATAAAACTATCATTTTTATCTGTCACACGCATTTATGAAATATTTCATAAATGCGTGTGACAGAATCTTCACTCTTTATTTTAAGCGCAATCTGAAGATTGCGTTTTGTACATTATAATTCATCATTTGATCACTAGCGTATGGACTCATGGCTGTTTATTAGTAAGAAATATTAAACATCGACCAGGGCACAAAAAGCTTATTTATGATAAATACGACTTTTATTAATAGTTAATTTGCAGTAAAAAAAACACACACACATACATATATATAATCGGTAATCGGTCAGTCACTCGTTGCAGATTACCCCACAACTTTTTTTTTTTTTTTTTTGCTTTCTGTTATGTCTGCCTGTGAAAGAATGGCACTTTATGAGTTTGCTTAATAAAATTGTTTTAATGAAAAATTGTATTCCTAATGATTCTGTTGGCCCTATGTGGTATCGTTTGTGACATTCAATCAGCTGTGTGTTGTGCCTATACAACACCCTTTAAGCCATGACCATATGCACAATTTAGCAGGCTTCTTAGACCTATTAAAATGCACAAATTACAGGCCAGGACTTTTGATAATCCAAATCAAATGACTCTTGTTCTTAATCGAGTATGTTGTTGGGAGTTAGCATTTTATTAAACTATCATTTTACTAAGCAAATTCATTAGGCACAGTTCCTCTGCTTGAAGATAAAGTCCTGGACATGACATGACATATGGTCGTCATGTGACACACAGCAGCCACAATAGCACTCATGTTTTATTATTTTTTCCCCCTTTTTATTCGAAACATTCCCAAACGCATTAACTGTATCATGAAACATCTCGATTCTCATCTTTAGCATAGATAATGTTAGTTGATCTATGGGCAATGGTCAAAGTAGCCTAATAATGTAGTCTAACTATACATAAAAACCTGTCTGTTTACTTAAGTAACAGATATGGGTGTCATGCCATAACATAGTTTTAATACGACTGACTTTATATTTAATGTGAATAAAAACATTGTAAGTGAGGCTACTTATCATAACACTTTCATTGTACAGAAAGAGAGCAAAGAACATTTACATTATCAAAGAACATTTTCACTGACAGTCTAGAGTTCAAGCACTCTCAAGAACTCCCATTAAAATCACTGAAGCTGTTTACACTGTGAAATTAATATCTTACTTACAGATTCATACACACATCTGCAGTTTTTGTTTCTAACGAGCGAATTCGCCAGAAAGAGGTATTCAGACAGCGAGCGAGTGAAGGTGTGATGACTCATCTGAACACCTCTGATTGGTCATTGCACTCATAAGCTCAACAGCATCGTGTGTGATTGGTTATAATGCGCAGCGCTGTAAAAACGCGTCTGTCTCTGGCTCAGCGCCAGACAGCGAATGCAGGTTTGAATTTTAGCAGCTGATGATATGACGCGCTGAACGGTTTAATCATGCTGATGTGATTGTATCAAATTTAGAAAATATCATTCGACTATTTTTTGTCTTTTGGAAGCTGCATTCAAAATCCACTTGGCTCAAAAATCTGAGGGGGCAAGTGCACTTGCACTTTGAATGCAGGCACGGCGCCAGAATTTTTTCTCTACCGGTGCTAAGGGGGGGCTAGACCAATATGTGGGGGAGCTAAGAAAATTAATTATATTGATGACGTCAGAGTTACTTCATAAAGAAATGGGGCTAAACCGGGGCTATCAAAAATTCTGACGGGGCTATAGCCCCCCCTAGCCCCGGTGTAGCGCCGTCACTGTTTGAATGGGCATGACGCCTCTGTTTGAGACTGTGGAAGTATTGAGAATTATGGAAGTACTGTGCCTGACAACCGCTGCCATAAATATTCACAATACCTTCTAGTGCTTCTAGTGCCTTATTGCCTAATTACACACATTCGTGCATTACTTATTAAAATCAATATCTTACTCGTTAACATTATTTAATTATATTATAATTAGTAGTTTACAAACATTTAGTAAATATGAAAATGTCAAAAGGTTTACTGACATTTCTGTCCAATCACCTATTAACTAAGGAACTGTCAAATTATGTTTTTTGTTATTAGAGCAAGTATCAATTCATGTAACAATGACTAATTATAAACGGCTTGCTTTTTTGTTCCATTTGAAAACTTTAGTGATCTAATCAAAACAGGACTTGTGTTGTGGGCAGTAACTAGTAACTTAGTTACTGTTATAATTTTACATTTTGCAGTAACTAGTAGTGTAACTAATTACTAATAAGATTTCAGTAATAATATTAGTTACCATCCATAAAGCAGCTTAGTTACTTTTGATGCCTCAACCCCGCTGATTTAAAATCCAACAATCAAATAATTCCTATTATTTTCATAATTTTCACAACTCTCACGTGCATGTGGTGTCCCCAGTGCAGCAGGCGAGCTTGGAATATGGAAAAGCTTACATTCAGCAGATAGTAATATTACATTATATTGATTTTGTCAGGAAAAAAGATGATCTGAGCACTGTTGTAGCTTATCTTACCTGTCCAATCGCTACCACTGTTAATTTAAATGGGGAATCATCTCAGTTATCACCAGTAAAATATTGAGTGCCACAAGGATCTGTCCTAGGTCCTCTGCTATTTTCAATATACATGTTGCCCCTTGATAATATTATTAGAAAATACAGGATTAGTTTCCACTGTTATGCTGATGATTGTCCCCTCAGAGGACCTCAGATGATGCCAACCCTGAAACAACATACAGAACTACCACATTTTGCTATAAGTTTGATTGAATCACATAATAATTGCTGTTAATATTATTCATCGTCTGTTTGATTACATCTTTAATTGATTTTTCCGTACATTTCTGCCATATGTACTTTAACTGACAGTCACTACTGATAAGCTACCACTAAATATAGTAGAAACTTAATTTGCTGTAAAGTTGCTTTGCAACGATTTTTATCGTGAAAAGCACTATACAAATAAACTTGAATTGAATTTACTTTACTCTGGCATTACATCCCACCCACATCCCTCTGATCAGCATGTGGTATATTATATTACTATAATTTAAAATCTTTTTGGAAAATAAAGTTTCTTACAAAATTATGTGATTTGATAAAATACATAATGAAATATAATTGTATATGGGTAACAGAGAAATGACAATTAGCTTCAAGCTACACATGACAACTAATGAGATTAATACAACACTTCTACTTGAATGTCAATATCAATCACTAGAATTATGTGAAAGATAGTTACAACTTCTGTGGGGCGTGAAGAAAAAGTAATGTAACTAGTAGTGTAACTAATTACTGTTGCCAGAACGTAATAAGTAAAGTAACAATATTACTTTTGAAATGAGTAACTAGTAATGAGTAATACATTACATTCTTTGAGTAACTAGCCCAACACTGGTTGTGGGGAACTTCAAGAAGAAAACAAAAAGAGAAAAGACAAGAAAAAATAAGAGGGAAAAAGAGAAAAGAATGAAAGCCCAACACGGGTTGTGGGGAACTTCAAGAAGAAAACAAAAAAAGAAAAGACAAGAAAAAATAAGAGGGAAAAAGAGAAAAGAATGAAGACATTAATTTGCTCGTTTGATTGAATGTTTGGGCGGCTCTTAAAAGAGCCTTTTTTTCTTGAAAATCCGGTCCGGGTGAAATTTAACCGCCAAAACCATACAGTGTACGGCCTTGACGCTTCAGAGCGTACACTACGTCCATAGCGGTCACAGTCTTGCGCTTGGCATGCTCGGTGTAGGTTACAGCGTCGCGAATAACATTTTCAAGAAACACTTTCAGAACACCTCGCGTCTCTTCATAGATCAGACCAGAAATACGCTTCACACCACCACGACGCGCTAGACGGCGAATAGCTGGCTTCGTGATTCCTTGAATGTTGTCTCTCAAAACTTTGCGGTGACGTTTTGCACCACCTTTTCCAAGCCCCTTACCGCCTTTTCCTCGACCAGACATGATAGCAGACTGACACCTCCAGGAACTCGAATGAAACCGAAATGAATGTGATTTCTTGGGAGGACTGACAAGTATATCTTTAAAGAGGACCTAGTGGAAACCATGCTTGGCTACAACCCCTCTGCGGGCGGGGCAAACGCAACAACGCAAAACAAGTATGGAAGTAGGTCTATTGAGCGCCGGTTTTCTTTTATTTGATTACATATCTTGGAATCGAATAAAAAATATAACTAATAAACACGTATCAAGTGCGCTATGCTTCTGTTGTGGTATTCGCGATATTTCAGTAATTAGGATTGACCTGCTTAGCTCTTATTGTCGTAGTATGGTTGTTTGTCGCTTCACAGTTTTTCTGAATGCTTCAGTTTCATCCCTTTTAGGACGGATTTACATTATATTTATGTTTTAGTGCGTAAATTTCAAACATTCAAAGAATAACTGATTCGAGATCAGCCGCAGCGAAGATATGCAAATTGTATACACCTCTTCCGAGTGTTTTGATTGGTCCTAGACAGTCTCGATTTCTATTTGTTATTTGCTGATGCTGACGCGTGGTGATTTGTCCCTGGTTTGAACGCCCTTCCCAGCCGGTTTGAACCGGTTTACCGAACAAAGAGGCAGGCAATACCTTCATCTGATTTCACTTCAGAGGCAAACAGCCTGTTAAATGAAATAATTTCAATCAATTATTAAATAAGTCTTCTCAAATATTAAATAAGCACAAACCACTGACGATCAAGCAGTGGTTTTACATTTATGCTAATTTGCCTTATGCTCTACAACAACAGCAGCAGCACAATCACATCAAACGTAAAACATAATAAAGAGAATATTTGCAGTAAACTGCAGAGCTCTGTATAATTAGAAATAGGAAGACTAATGGTTGTAATGGTTCCATTGAAGAGTGCAGATAAGTATTTAGCTTTCAGACATTTCAGCTTCCATCATACCCCAGTGGCTGCAAATGAGAGAAAAGGAACAATATTAAACCAATCCTGTCAGAAAAATAAAACACTCTTTGCATACTTTCTTGACTACTAATTTATGAATATAGAGAGGTTTGTACTAAGACAAAATCATTAGTATTACTTTTGTCACAATATTAAACACACCAAACTCAAAGAACAAAGACTTCATAAAATCCTTTGTCTTTTACCTGGTAAACTCCCTCTTCATAGCCTGGCGCAGGACGCTGCCATATCTGATTGGATAAGATTTTCAAAACAACCAATCCAAATGCTACAATGATGACTCCCAATGAATTTGCAGTTATTGCCTCTGGTGGTAATGTGGAATAAGGCAGAGTCCCATTGGTGTTTCCTTTTCTGAGGAAAGAACCAATAGTACAACACATTTGCCATGACAATACACTAAATCTATTGTGAGTTCTACAATTATGAGTGCATGTTTTTTTACCCACTTCTTTATACCTCATACCTTAAATCTTAAAACATTGATTTTAGCATAATGATCAGATTGATTAGAGCTTAATGATCAGATCTAGTCAAACAGCAATGAACACTCCATGAAGATCTCTCTAACATTAATAGCCATATGTGACCCTGGACCACAAAACCAGTCTTAAGTCGCTGGGGTATATTTGTAGCAATAGCCAAAAATGCATTGTATGGGTCAAAATTATTGATTTTTCTTTTATGCCAAAAATCATTAGGATATTAAGTAAAGATCATGTTCCATGAAGATATTTTGTACATTTCCTACTGTAAATATATTAAAACTTAATTTTTTATTAGTAATATGCATGGCTAAGAACTTAATTTGGACAACTTTAAAAGTGATTTTCTCAATAATTTGATTTTTTTTTTTTTTGCACCCTCAGATTCCAGATTTTCAAATAGTTGTATCTCGGCCAAATATTGTCCTATATCCTAACAAACCATACATCAACGGAAAGCTTATTTTTATATTTTGAAAAAATATTTTCACACTGGTTTTGTGGTCCAGGGTCACATATATAATTAAGTTAAATATAAGTTCTTCAAGTCTTCACTGCAAAAGCTAATGCATAGCACTCAGTTTATGTAGTGTGATCACTTACAGTGCAAAAAAGAGTTTTTCATTGATCCCTGAGATGCAGGACACAATGCTCAGTACCAAAATGATTCCTCCCATCCAAACATGAGTTGGCTTTATAAAAGCACGTGCTGACATTGGAGTGCAGGGTAAGAGGAATGAGGTAAAACCCATAACCCACTAGAAAAAGCATCAGAAAAAAAAAATTCTTACATCACTGATAATTTCAAACACTTTGGATACAGACAATGTAGTTTAGCATATTCATATGTAGATGGTTCATTGTTTAGCCACTATTAAACTTCTTATTTACAGAAACAACTGAAGATGTACCACTACACTGTACATGAACACTTTTCAACATGATAACTCACCTGTGCAGTAAAAAGTGCAGTGGTTTGCGTTGTGGTAGTCGAACACCGCACAAAGCCCGATGACAGAAAGAATGAAAGAAAGGAGCAGAAGTCCAGCATGTAACAGCTTCCACGGGAGCTTATTTTGACCCCACGTCAGAGGCATACGGTACACTATGGCCACTGGTTAATAGAGGAAAAAAAGACACTGATGTCAGAAAGTCTGTTCAACTGATAAAACTGACAAAAGTTGGAAGTCAACATAATGTAATATTTAGCCAAATAGTCTAATATTTCAATGTAACATGCCAAACTTAAATCTAACAGGAAAACAACCACAGACTTTTTACAACACATTAACTGTGCAATGTTGTGTTATCATATTATAGCTACAGTAGCATGAAACACAAGCCGAAACAATACCCAACCAAACATACCATTCCCATAAAGCACCACCATGCCAGTGACCATGAAGACCGGGTGCCAGTTGAAGTGCTTGGCTGAGCCGTCCCATGCAAATCCACCTCGATAGCTGTAATTCCAGTGAACTACTAATGCCACACAGATGATCCCCAATATCAGGCACAGCATATAGGTTAGATAAAATGCAACAATCCCTCTCATCCTGTGAGGGCTGCAGAGACAGACAATGCACATGAATATTCATTAAGCTATTTATCTTGAGAAATTAACTTTACCTGACACATGTATTAAATGTACACTGAATTATAGATGTGTTTACAAAGACATAAGCAACATTAATAGCCATTTTCTAATATTTTAACTTACCTTAAAAATATCTCAAAATCAAAGTCTAGTGATTTTCAGGTTTAATTTTAAACAAAGAGCAACCAAGGTGTATAAGGCAGTTTTTTAAATAAGAGTAGCACATCTGAATGTACAGTACCTTTATCTGATGTCTTACAAATTTCAAACAGCCTCGTGACAGCGTTTTTTGTTGATCTCAGTTCCTCTTTCCATGATTCCCCATTATGATTTTCGATTTCGTCTACACACAGACCAGATGGCAAACAAACAATAGCAGAAATGAGGAACAGCAATTATGTCACTCAAGACTACAAATACCGTACAAATAGAGAACTTTATAACAGAGAACTTCAAATTACTTCCATGAGGCAAGGAAACAATGTAACAAAAAATTGTTGTTCTAAAAATAAGACCTGTCCGATTAATGCATAGGCTTAGGGAGTGCTTTGTTATTTGTAAAATGTTGTAGGTTTACATTATTATTGTAGTTTGAATCTTAATGTGACCTAATGCAAGTATGAGGACACTCGAAAACAGACGAAGTACCCGCGCAAACTGTTTTCAATATTGCCTGTTAAAATAACAATATTGACTGTTAACATAAGATAAGCTGATTTTACTAGATGTCAGGCAAGAGCGAAAACGTACGAACTTTAACGACCAAGCTTACGATGTTTTTGGGAAACGTAGCCATGTTTGGCGACATGACAATTTCCTGTGTAACGGCGAGGCTGCATGGGAAGTGTAGGCCTAGTGAACAGAACCTAATTTACGAATGAAAGATTATGTGTAAATATTATTTGTTAGATTACATTTCGATTACTTTTCGGCAAAACACTCAGATAAATTACTACAGAAGTATAAATAAATAAATAAAACTAGCAATTTAAAAACAAAACACAAAAAAGTGATACTTTTACCTCATGAGATCTGTCTTTAGACGGAAATTAAACTTTGCTTCCAATACCATTACATAAGACAAATGTCCCAAAATTATTAAGTCTGTTTTAACACAAATTATGGATTTGGGACACTACATCATCACAATGCACAAAAGCCCACATATATTTGCATTACAATGAATCCGCATAATGCCGAGAATGTTCAAGTTTTAATGAGGATTTGAATAAGAGGAAGAAATTATGAAAGCATTTCAACCACTACCAACATCCTTGAACAAAACACACAAAACATGTATAACAAATATATTTTATTTTAGGATTGTGTATTTTTCTTCTGCACTGCTGTGGTTTGGAATCAGAGGATTCTACTCTAACAAATCTGTTTTGATCCACTCTATTCCCTAGAGCAGGGTTGTCCAAACTCGGTCCTGGAGAGCCGGTGTCCTGCAGAGTTTAGCTCCAACTTGCCTCAACACATCTGACTGGAAGTTTATATGCCTAGTAAGAGCTTGATTAGCTGGTTCAGGTGTGTTTAATTAGGGTTGGAGATAAACTCTGCAGGACACCGGCCTCCAGGACCGAGTCCTGCCCTAGAGCAGTCGTTCCCATCCCTGTTCCTGGAGGCACCCCAACACTGCACTTTTTGCATGTCTCCTTAATCAAACACACCTGATTCAGGTCATCAGCTCATTAGTAGAGACTCCAAGACCTGAAATTGGTGTGTCAGAGAAAGGAGACATGCAAAATAAGCAGTGTTGGGGTGCCTCGAGGACCAGGGTTGGGAACCACTGCCCAAGAGGTTGAAATCCTTATTTTCCAGATCAGGTGACCTCTGGTGGCGAGCAAGCTGAAATGCAGTTTTTACATATATATGAAACATCTTTCAAGTAACAGAGAAGTATGTGAGTTCTGTATTCAGAACCTTAAGATTATTTAAAACGTTGTCACAATCATTAAGGGAAAAACGAATATACACATGCACTGCTTTTATTAGTTCACAAAATAATCACATGTAAACATCTAATTCAAGATCATAACACAAATCACAATTTTGTATACAAAATGGGAAATAATGCAATCAAACATTAAACAAACATTTGTAGTAACACCACACATTTGTAGTAACACCACACATTTCATAATAATAAAAGTCTTAAATACGTTTTTATTTTTCAAATGTAACTAATGCTTGTAAACAGTGGCATAACATCTTATCTAAGGTAAGCCATGCACAAAAAAAATCAAAAGCATAACTTTGCTCTCTGAGGAGAATATGGTGGTGACAATATTTGCATGTTTCCAGTCACTCATCTTCATATTTAAAGTAACCATTACTAATTGCCTTTGCAATGATATTTTCTGCTGACAGCCTTTGGTCTAAATAGATTAATGCTTCAATAAGACTGTTGAAATCTGCCTTCAGTCCCTCCTTTTCCATCCAGATTTTTAACAGTTCGTAAATTCTGTCTTCTGAAAAAAGAGACTCTGCACTTTTGATTGAATTATCACTCAGTCCAATGAACCTGAAGAATCTGTTAAGATAGTGGACATCCATTTCTTCAAAGAAATCAAAGGTTTTCTTCAACGATTCTTCTCCTGAAAAGGTGAGACAGAGTGAAAACACTGCAGCATAAGTCATTATTTTTAGGAATGATAATTTAAGGAATAGTTCACCCAAAAATGTAAGGTCTGTCATAGGGGCCTAGCCAGAAATGTTTAACTGGGTGGGCCTACATAAAACAGGGTGGGCAAAGTGTAGCATATGTAAACTGCATGTCAAACTGCCAACAGAAAATACAGCACAAATTCAATACACAATACTTATAAATCATTGATTAACATTAATGTTAATTAAAAAAATTACTAATAAATTATTAAAATTAAAAGTTGTATCTGTTAGCATTTGTACCTGAGGTAACGTTAAAGGGATAGTTCACCCAAAAATGAAAATGTAATGTTTATCTGCTTACCCCCAGGGCATCCAAGATGTAGGTGACTTTGTTTCTTCAGTAGAACACATAGAATGATGTTTAAATTTAACCGTTGCAGTCTATCAGTCGTATAATGCATGGCAATGGTAACAAAATCTATGAGTAAAAAAAAACATGCACAGACAAATCCAAATTAAACCCTGCAGCTCGTGACGACACATTGATGTCCTAAGACACGAAACGATTGGTTTGTGCGAGGTCATATTTTACCTCTAATGCACCACTATGTCCAACTGTCTTTGGGCGCGCGCACGGCATCCGGTGCGTGAGGTGTGTACGCACACTGGCGTAGTTTACGTTAATGGGTGTGTTGATATCCAGCCGAAGAGAAATCAATCATAACTTCAGGGGAGCAGGCTCAGAAGTTGGGAATACATGGAAACTACGCCAGAGCACATACACACCTCATGCACCGGATGCCGAGCACGCGCCCAAAGACAGTTGAACATATTGGTGTATTAGAGGTAAAAAATGATATAAATACTGTTCGGTTTCTGGCACAAACCGATCGTTTCATGTCTTAGGACATCAATGTGTCGTCACGAGCCGCAGGGTTTAATTTGAATTTGTCTGTGCATGTTTTTTTTACTCTCATAGATTTTGTTACCATTGCCATGCATTATAAGACTGATAGACTGCAACGGTTAAAGTTAAAAATCATCATATGTGTTCTACTGAAGAAACAAAGTCACCTACATCTTGGATGCCCTGGGGGTAAGCAGATAAACATCAAATTAATTTTTTTGGGTGAACTATCCCTTTAACAAAGATGAATAAACACTGCAACAAATTTATTGCTCATTGTTAATGTTAGTTAATGCATTAACTAACATTAACTAGAAGTTTATTGTAAAACATCATCTCAATCTGAGAGAACGGGGCTTCGCGGTTGATCTGATAATCAAATCTCTCTCTGTCAGTTCTCTGTAGAAATGCGTGCAGTTTGTTGTGAATAGTATCTTGCACAACATTTATGTTTCTTTCCACAAAGGACACATCTGTTTAGACCAAAGAGCCAATTTTTAATTTTTGGTTAATGCATTTTTCCAAAAGAGCCAATATATATATAATATATATATAGCCTAATATTATATATAAAAAAGCATGTTTTCTTTTTTCAATAACGTTTTAATAATAGTAACTTTATTAGGACCATGGAAAGTAAAATACACAAATATTCAACTAACCGTCAAAAATTGTGCAGGGTTTTACTGTGATGTTGATTTACAAGGGGTTTACGGTGTTGAAAATATCAAGCATGTCCCGCTCTTTACTATCTCATTCATTCACGTTCCTTTATTAATAACGCTA